GACATCAAAAGATAAGGTCTAACATGCTATACTTAAGATGTGCCACATATATAATTGACTTTAGAAGTCTGCCAGTGTTATTTAATAGGAATACATTTTAAAACAATATTTCAATAGAAAGAAGTAAGAAGAACAAACTAAAAGACGACTGAAAAATGTAAGACAAAACAAACGAATATGTAAAGGACAACCTAAGTAGAAAATCTGCTAATGTAAGTGCTTCTCCTATACACAACCACGATCCCAACATATAACTTTAATTACCAACCACACTTTTGCCTATGAAAGTGACAATAATACTTTTTAAGCAAAAATGCAAGGATATAGTCACATCCCCAGATTGATGATGGGAATGTAATTAGCAAATTTTTCTTAATCTGACACTATCTCTTGGAGTGTACAATTTGGTTCAACCTTAAAACAACACATACTTTACTATACTAAAATTCCATTACAGGAATTTTGTCCTTAAAAAATGAATTTGCATAAAAATTTACATGTCCCAAGGGTATTCTCTGAAATATTAAAGTATTAAATGGTTGGGCATAAAATTTCCTCCCAAAACAAAAACAGTTAAATAAATTACAGAATATTAGCACAACAGAGTATTATGCCGTCTTTAAAAACAAACAACGTTTCAAAGGGGAAGGGTGGCAGGTAGCAAATCTGTAAGACAGGAGAAAAGACTCTAAGATGAAAGGACGTAAAACACAAGCATGGAGATAAGCAAGTACAAATTATGTATGGGAAATGACAAATAATTTATTTCAGCTGTAACACTATCTGAGCAGAAACAGTGAAAATCCCTAGGATATGGCTGTACTGCATGCATCACTGAATCTGTTCACCTGGATAGTACGAACGCAAGTCAGTAAGAACACAAGCTTTGAAGCCAAAAGACCTGGGATCCAATATCCAAACTCTTTTTCATTACCTGAGCAACTCTGAATTTGAATCTCAGTTCCCTATGTATAAACTTAAATCCTACTACCTTTCTTTGGTACTATTAGAAAAATGAAGAAAATGATGTAAAGAACTGGGCACGCTTTTATCAGAATAAGTGCTAATAAACAGTCATTTTTTGTTATGTTAAGCCACTAGCAAAATATCAATTTTAAAAGAAGTGTGGAAGTAGAAAGGTACTGTTGTAAAAGATTTGTATGGTATTTACTTCTAAGTAACTGTCTTAATTAAATACATGAGTAAGCACGTACTATGTAAATTTATTCACCAGTGAAGTAGCACATTTCAGCTGTAGCCGTAATTGAGAACATAATCATATACTGCCTCTTACTGTTTCACGGGAGAATTGATTGTTCTGTGATAATGTAAGCTAAAAGAATAGAATTTATGTTTCTGTTTCATTTATATCTTTAGCAGTCTTCACAGTTTATATATATTTTTTGTTCCGTTTTAGTTGTGAGAGTAGCAGTACAGGTGCTGATTGTCCTGCTTTATTGGTTGGGAAACTTGCCCAGATCTATAACAGTGAAGAAACTAGACCTCATTTTTTAGTTTAGATCCAGTGCTTTCAATTTATACCTGCTTCCTCTTTTTGCCATTTAGTGTCATCTATAACTAAACACTTTCACTTACTTCATTTCATAGTCCTAACAAGCAAGTGTCCATAACTACTATGTATATGCTACCTAAATCAAGCTATTTGAAAGAAAAATGATGGAGAAATAATTGTGTAAATGAAAAGACCCATTCTTTTATTTTAGATGCTATTTTAAAAACAGCACCATAAATTTATATAAAACATTTAATGAATATTATGTAAATAATACAATTCAGTATTACATGTATGAAATTCATGACATTTAAAAAGAATGAATAGCAAGACAGAAAATGCTTTTATATATTATTATTAATACATTAATAGAAGTCAAAGTTTTTATCAGTATGCATTTTAAAGAAGGATCAGCTAAGGCTCAGAAGTGACTTTCAGTTCTGACACTTCATGATGGCTTAATCACCACTACAGCTGGTATCATTTTAAAGTGTAGATCCCCTTTTCTCAACACCTATTATTTGCCAACATACAGTGCTAACTTTCTGTGTATAGGTAAGGTGAAATCCATTACAACTTATTCTTTATGATTAAAACCTTAAAAACACAAAAATATATCCAAAATTATCACTAGGGAAAAACATTCTATTTAATTCTATAATGGCCTTTTTGACTATCTTCATGAGACAAAATAAACAAACACTTTCGTTTCCAAAGAGAATAAAATAAACACAGTATTTGTTCTCTTTTTCTGAATAGGGTTACTAAATATGGGGCAACAGTCTAAGGAAAGTTAAAGTAGATTCTATAATGAAGGTTATCTTTGATATTTTCTTCTTTAAAGTAGGAACATGAATTAGATGTAAAGTTGCTTCAGAGCCTTTAATTTCCCAACTTTCATTACTCCCAAAAGAAAGGAAACATTTATTGAGAGTCTACTATGTTCAAGATACTTCAGTGGGATTAAATTGAACACATTTAAAATGTATTTCCTACTAATAAAGATAATTTTCAACGTGAGAGCCGCCACTAGGGGGGGTTGATTTTTCTTAATAAATTCATCTCAAGACTGAAAGAGCTTCAGGTTACAATTGTCAACTACTTTAGTCCAAAATTTTATGGAATATATATATAAAATATATATATGTAATATAAAATATATATATACCATAAAATTTATATTTAAATAGTTGTCTTTTTAAACAGTCCTGTAATTATGCTACAGCATATTTTATCTGTAAATAACATAAAATGGCTCTCATTTAAGAGGTCAAAGTTAAGTAGGTCTGGATAGCATTTTCAGCTCAAAACAAGATCTATTTTCCCCAATGTTGGCAGGTTTTAGGGCTCATTAGGTCACAGACTAGTAGTTTAATTTTAAAACTCAAATTTAATATCAAGTTTAATGACTTCATTTCTAAAATAAACTTTGATTTACTGCATTATAAAGTTAACAATTTTTCATTCAGGTAAAAATAATTTATATAAACACTTTCACTTGATAAAGAAAATACCAGCACTAGCCTTTTCTTACAGAGGAAGCTGGTGATATTTAAGGCATTTGTATGATTAGAAGCAATATATGGTGCTCAGTAGAGATATGATAAACATCTATGCTAACAAAATAAAATGTGGGTGAATGGGAAAAATACTTTTGTTATATTGTAAGAAATTAATACAAGCATATTAAAGACTAAGAAAGTATATTAGGATAATCTAATAAAAAGTACATTTTATGCAAAGTAACTAAAATCCATAAATGTTAAACTGTATAATGAATACAAAATTATGGCATTTGTTTTTGTTTACAAAGCCACCCAGGTCCTTTTATAACACCCTAACTGAAACCCAGTATCTTAAAAACACATCAGGGAAAGCTTCCTGTTTTCTCACTATACACATAAAACCTACGACGTCCCTATTATATATGATGCTAAGTATATTATTGCATTAATAAACACATAGAACAGACATTTGTGATGCCTCCCAACTTTAACCATGAAGGACAATGTCAAATAAGACAAACATACTTTAATATAAGAAATCATTCTACAAAATTAAAAGTATTATAAACCGATGTCTCAAACTGCCAAGGTAGAAAACTGCTGGTTTGACAACATTCCCTTAAAACACACTCTACCATAAAACTTCCATATTTTAATCAGTCTATTTACAGATTATTATCCTCTGTTAATGCCAATTCACAAGTCTAGTTCTGAAGAACTATGATAACTGAAATTCTGAAAGGAAACTAAAATTTTAGAATGAAACTTTAAACCAATAACTGGTTTTAAATGTAAATCTTGAAGTGTTATTTTTCTGGTTCCCATTAGTGACAGTTGGAGTCTAAGCAAAACGCACACTTCTGATTTGGTCTGAGAGGACGTTTAAGAGTTCTTAAAATTGTTTACGAAAACTTGAAAAACATGCAGGTAAAGTAACTCAGAGATAAAACTAGAAATAAAAAAATTGGAACAAACACATGAATACAACCACCACACAACAGGAAAAGTTTCCAGCACGGATACTTTTTTCTGACACACAAGAAAATAAAGTATTTGCCATCTCACACAAATATTCCACCAAAATCAACTGACAACGACAAAAGCAAGTTTGTACTCACTCAATTAGAACAAAACTTTGAAGGGGAAAACAATTAGAGGTAAATGTTAAGAATGAAAACCTCTCTCAAATGCAGTTCTAAATCTTTTATGTTACAGACTCTAAAGCCACCCCAAAAGTGATAAGCAAGCTTCCGAAAAAGATGTCTGAAGAATACAAATCCTCCACCGTATCCTGTCCGTTGCATCCACTCCCACCTGCTACCACGTCTATCCACTTTACCGATATGGTCACGATGAGCGCTACAAAACTGCTGCCAAATAAGTAAATAAGAGCGCAACAGAAAGCCAGTAGGTGGGGACCAAAAAGTACCTTTAGAGGCACTCAGCCCCTTCGTAAAAGTCAGCACGTGTTTAGCTCTTTAAAACATCTCGCCCTACCAAACTCTACCAAGAATGAGAATTAAGACTGTCCTCTAACCTAACCCATGCGGATATTAAAAATGGAAGGAGATTTCAAGACAGGTTTATACTAACTAATCCATTAGCCCAAGGCAGATCAGAGCTGTCAACAAATCAGGACCAAATCAGAGAGAACAAAGTTACAAATGTGAGAGGGTGTGTATGCACCGGTGCGGGGGAAGAGGATGGGTGGAAGGACAATTTTTAAAATGCAATCATTGAAAACGCGAGAATTCAAGTCCTCGGTCTCCCGACCGGCCTCCAAACCTCGATTCCACGGGCAGTGCCGGGAATGAACCTAATCCCCAGGATCGCAGGGATTTGGGGGCGGGGTGGGGCTGCCTCCCGCACCCGCGTGCCTGTGCGCCCAGCCCCCGCGATGAGGACGCGCTCGGGACACTCACGTTTTCTGCACCGGCTTCCGCCGCTTGCGACTGGCATAGGTGATGTTGGCGCTGCTGCTGTTCATGGTGCCCAGCCGACGGCGGCGGCTACTCGCCGGGCACTGGCGGCCGGGTCCCCGGGACCTGGTGTCTGCCGGGACGACGGCGGCGGCAGGCGCCGGGTTCCGCGAAGCCGCGCCCGCTCCACCTGCGTCCTCTCCAGACAGTGGCGTGGGCGCTGCGCCTCCGCGCCTCGGCTACCGCAGGCTCCCGCAGCCCGCGCCAGTCCAGGTGAGCTGCCCGGGCCTGGCGCCGTAAGGGGGGGCAAGGGGCGGAGACCCGCGAGCGAGGCGGCGCAGGTGCCGTCTACACCGGCGGAGGCGGCGCGGCAGTGCCCGCAGGTGAGGCCGCCCGGGCAGAGGAGGAGCCTGGGCCGTCTATTTAGAATCCTGGCCTGGGTCGCTCACGGTGCCGCCGCGCTCCGTGACCGTAGCCGCGGCCCCTTGGGTGAGGGAGACGCCGCCGCGTTGCTCCCGGGACTTCCCAAATCCTGGGTGCTTCCCGCCTGCGGAGCTCGGGGGCCAGCCACCAGTCCCGGCTGCTCCTAGCTTCCGTTCGGCTACACGGCTGCCTCTGGTCTGAGCTGGCGGTCCGGGGCACGCTCTCGGAACAGAGCGTCGAGGGGACTCCCCAGCCGCTGCCTCCCGCCGCCGCGCGCACCGGCTGAATAGCACAAGTACCCCCGACCCCTCACCGGCCCCGCCCCGCCCAGATCCAGCGTAGCCCCGCCCCGTCCTGCTTGCCCCCGCCCATCTGGATTCCATTCCATCTTCCTTGAGGGCCCCACCCTCATCCCGGCACGTGATGACGTAGGACGTAACGACGCCCCCCCGCCGGTAGCCATCTTCGTGCATAGGCAAACTCATTGTAGCTAGACTATACAAAGTATATCAAGATATGCCAAATATAGAGCTTAACTTCGCCTGTTTGAGAGACGGTGGTTCAGCTGACTTGTGGCTAAGAATTACAATTAACTGGTAGACAACCAATGGGACTATATATTTTCCTAGTTGGGGAAGCTTCAGAAGGCCAGATTTGAGTTGAGACTTGAAGGCTAGGGGTTTTCTTGACCTTTTTTGGGGTGGGGGGAAGTCTTTACAATAGACAGGAAAATAGATAATAAGGGGACTATTATGTGTTGTCTCATGGAGGACAATGTGGAAAAATATTGGGAGTAGTTAACAGTATTGAATGCTGTTGAGAAATTCAAATTAGATGAGAACTGAAAATGTCATTGTCTTCTCAGTGTGTAGTCATTGATAATTTTCGTGAATGCTGTGTTGGTGGGGTAATGGGCCTGCAAATAACATTGAAGTGGGTACAGGATTGCTGGAGATGATGAAATGGCATCCTCAAGCAGACAATTCTTCCAAGTTTAACTGTGGATGAGAGACACATCAGATGGTATGTAGGGGGAGTGAAGGGTTAAATGAGGGTTTTCTAGTTTTGTTTTGGTTTAGTTCTTTAATGGGTGATACTGAGCAGCTTAGAGGGGTGGAGATAAACTATGTAGGGAACCTGAGGGAACAGTTAAGGAATGATAGATATTAAGATAGCGAAAGCAGGAGGGAATGAGTGCCAAAGCATAAATGGGAGATTAGGACTAATAGTTTAGATACTAACAGAAACAGCACTTCCAGTACTTTGCTGTTCAGAGTACTCCACAGCTTCTTATGAGAGTTATAAGAAATGCAGACTCTTTGGGTGTCCATATTAAATCAGACCCCGAAGTTCACAAGAACTCCCAGGTGATTCAAATGTACATAAAGTTGGAGGAGCAGTTCTCTACTATAGCTGGAGGAAAGAAGGATAGTGGGTGAAATGTAGTAGGCTACTAAATTTTGGATCAGAAAGATGAAGGAGATGGAACAAAGGGTATTCTAGCATGAGCTACAAAAGAACAACTGTGTTTTGTGGTTGATGATCTTTGTTTAATTTTAGAAGAGCATAAAGTAAAAGTGATCTGGGAAGTGACAACAGGGAAGTAGGTGGACATCCACTCTATATCCTGGATGTGTGATAAGAGAAAATAATTAGGCAGTATTTGGGAGAGCTTATAGGAAAGTGATAGCCTCAGTAAGCCAGCTTTCAGTTTAAGGAAAAAGATGGAGCAAATTCCCAAAGAAGACAGTGTACACTGGGAAAGTTTGATGTTTATGAATTAGCAATTGCAGAGGCAAAATCAACCATCTCTATTTTCCCTTCTCTTTCATTTCTTCATTTTTCTGTGCTTACTCAAAACGTGTAAATGTAAAAGAGTAATTTCTTCCTAGCTAGGAACTTGAAGGGTGAAAATTTTATATCAAAACATAATATATTGATTCTGTAGCTTATAACTCCTCTTCATAAAAGGGATGTACTAAATGCAATGAACCAATCTTAATTTAGAGATTTAAAAATATCCTACCCTTTTTAAAGTTGTTGGCTATTTGGTACAGTCATTTTCCACCTTATTTTGACTTTCATACCCTTATTTTTTATGTTTAACTTTAGGGTTATTTTCATTATCCAGAAATCGTATGCTGTATTATGTTACACAGTCTTAGTTAAGTAACAGATATTTGCATAATTAAGATTAAAATTGAATATCAATAAAATTCCCAGAATTCATTTTGATAGTAACTGAACTTACCTTAACAGTTTTGCTAGTATGTGAATAAAACTTGTATAGTGTAATGCCATTTAAAAAAATGAGCTGCCATTATCTAGAAACTTCCTGTACTGGCACTGTGGAACATGGTTCTCAAAGTATGGTTTGTGGCCATCTGCTAAGATTTAAAAATTTTTTTGTGAGCAGTTTTTTTTTTTTTGTAGTTACATGATTTTTTTTCTCATAACAATTAATTTGGCTATAAGAGTCAGTGAACATTTGATTACCTTATCCAAAGAACATCCTTTTAATCAATTGGGTTGATCTTACTTTCTGAGGTTTCAGATGCAGCTGTATGTGTATGGGTTTCTTTCTCCTGAGAAATAGTATGAGAAAAATGTTTTAGGAATGCTATTATAAATATCAGCTGTTCTTGAATAAAGGAAAATAATCAAAATGAATGCTCAACCTATTCTATCACAGTTCATTTCACTAAGCAAGATTTTAGCCCCATATAATATACCAGACACTGTGGGTTATGGTAGCGATATCAGACATGTTCTTTCCTCTTAGAGCTTCCATTCTAACGAGAGAGACAAGAATTAATCAGATAGTTACACAAATGAATGTGTAATTACAACTGGAACAAGTACTGTGAAATGAATACTCTGAGATTGTATAATAGGTGGATTTGACTTGGTAAGGGGAGGTTACTATGCGGGAGCTTGAACTGAGTTTTGAGGCATGGGTAGGCATTTTATAGGTGAGCTGGGGAGGAAGGGGTATTTCATGCAGACTGAACATGTATCACTTTTTAATCTCCTCTTCAATTCTGCAGCTCCTTACTTCAGGCCCTCAGAATTATCTATTTCACTCATACTCTGCTTTTACAGTTTACAGCATACATTGTAGCTATATGAAGTATTTTACAGAGGATAGTCTATACTTCCTAAACTATGTACTGAGGCACCCCAGGAGCACCACAACAAACTTAGAGGGGCACTATCATGGAATATTTTAAATTTTCAAGGCCAACACAGTGACATCAGTGGACAACATGCAAACCACTTTCTTGAGGTAGTTCAGAACTTCTACACATTAAATTGTACTTTATTCCTTTTGACAACATCATCATATCTTTGTGAGGCTGTGTTTTTGTAAATTGCTGTAATAAAACACAAGGACTATGGGAAAATTACTGTAGAACAGGAATGAAGGTAGTGGATTCCAAGTTTATTCCAAGATTTGAGAAGTTATAAAGTGCCCAACAGATGTGCACATCCCATTAAGAATGAAAAATGTTAATGTATATTACTTTTTAAATAGCTACTAAGTTGTTAGGATAGACAAACATAAGTTTGGATTTAACTGTTTAATAAATGGAACTGTTAGGTGTTTCTTTTAGCTTGCAACACCATGAAAAAATTACTGACACACTAGGAATGCTGTGAACTGAGAAAGTTTGGGACCTTTGGCATAACTAAATCCTGCATTTAACAGGTGAGAAACTTCAGGCCCAGAGAGATCAAGTGCCGTGCTAATCATAGCCTAGAATCTGGGTCTTGTGACTTCTACTCCAGTCTAAAATGTATAACTTATCTCACTTTGAACTGTTCTGATTCATTTATTAAAAATAATCAGTTTACACATTGCTTGCTTTTACTCTTAACACCGAAGAACAGACATAGACGTCTAAATGCTTAATGTCTTCTTCAGTTGCTTGGACACAACAGTGTCATAGAAGCCACAGAGAAGTAATTAATAGATAATGCTAATCTTAATTCTGACAAAGAAACTACAATATAGGAATAATTTGTTATTAGTCAGAATTTTTTTAATTCACTTATGGATAATGCTTTGTTGTAAAAAACATTTAGGTTTTTAACACGTGAAAGTACATTATTAAAATGTTAACATGCAGTAAGTTTGGATTTCGATATTTTTTCTTTCTGGCCCTTTAATTCTCACTAATTTAAAATTTGATTATGGGGAAAGTTCTAAAAAAAGCTTTGTGTTTCACGTGCTAAGATTCATGTCTAATTTATTAAACATTTTATTAAAATATATATGTATAAATATCATTTTTACTAAAATCCATTTAACTTTGGAGATAAATATATTTGGAATCTATATAACAATACATACTTTCTGCATTTTAAATCATGATATAGAAGAAACTGAAATTAAGATAAAATACATTTATTTAACAGAAAATTATTAACTTGATAAGAACAGCTTAAGGAAAAGTAACTTATTGTAAAACGCTGACCTAAAATATATAATTTAGATTTGCTAAACTTCAAAAGGCTATCATTCTTATTCATATTAAGAAACAAAATGTATTCTTTACTGAAAATGTTTAACAAATTTAATTAATACGTGGACAGTGGTTCTCAACATTTGTTGTGTATTGTAGTCACTTGAGAACTGTAAAAATTACTGATCCTTGGCTCCACCACAAAAATTTTTATTTAATTTATCTAGGTTGTGTCCTGGAATTGAGATTTTATGGGTGATAGAGGTATTGTGGCTATGTAACAGAAGATCCTTATTCTCAGGAAATACATGCTGCAGCATTCATATATATATATACATACACACATACACATACACACACACACATATACACAATTGTGAAAGG